AATATATAGTATTATCGTTTTACTAACAGCTTGACAGTTTGCTAGATAGGGCGTGCTAAAATTTTGTATGCTGATTATCATTCTACTTATCGATTGGTTGTTTGATTTCAATGGAATCAATAATATTTTGCATATGAAACACAGAACCCAACAATACCACTGACAATACTGACCAATCGTATTGAATAAACAACAATTACATGTGAACGGACAAAGCAAGTCTTATAATACTTCCTATAATGATGATATCGATAGCTACATAGTACAATAGTAGCAGAGTAGCCTTACTAATTCCATTATTTTAATTTTCTTATATATGTTATACGTATTTAGAAACCCATCCAGTCAAATCATAACAAATATAATACATGTTTTATTGAGGACCTTTATATTCAAATTTAGAATGTATGTATTATACACAAATGTTTCATATGCAAATTAGTATTGATTTCATTGACCCATTCGATGAGTAAAATAATAAACAGCACACACAATTTTAGCACGCCCCATCAAGCAAACTGTCACGCTGTTTGTAAAATGATAGTACTTATAAAAAGTATCGAGAATATTTTGACTTCATGACATGAAAAGTACAAGTATACTGCAGCATCTGCTGCCTAAAGATTCATGAAACATGAGAGAGAGAGAGAACCTTTATAGAGAGAGAGAGAGAGAGAGAGAGAGAGAGAGAGAGAGAGAGAGAGAGAGAGAGAGAGAGAGAGAGAGAGAGAGAGAGAGAGAGAATGTTACTAAAATTTGCTTAAGGAATGCTCCATCTACTTGATCAATACATAGGGATCACAGGCACCTGACGTTACTTATTTTTCTTTTAATGAAAAAAAATTTACACATACCTAATAATAAATTATTGTTATTAGGTATGTGTATATTTTGGTGCCTGTAAAGGGGATAACCTGGGCTGTGGAAGGTCTACAGGGGATGTTCACAGCTCTGTGTTAATTTTCAGTTCACAGAATTGTTTAGTTTTATTAGATCGATAACTGTATATTCATTTTTTATTCTTAGCCAATTTAAAACTTATGCTTTGAAATTAAATATAAACCAATGTCATTATGTTAATCTTTATATGAAATATATGGAGATAATGAAGAGTATTCAAGCTCAAAAGTCCATAAAACGAAACAAAATAGGAGCAGAGCCAACACCGACCTCCAAAACATCAGAGGTGGGATCGGGTACCATGGAAGATTGAGCATCACCTACCGACCGCTCACACCAGCCGTGTGCTCCTTGTCATGATCATGAAATTACGGGAAAATCCGTCAGTGTGTAAATAACGGACTAGCAGATGGCATGAAAAACGTCAATCAGCATTTGATCTAATACAAAATTGTAATTGCTAACAAGATGATTGTAACGACCATATAGAACTTACGAAATGATGAATTTAAACGAGACAGCTCATATTCTTGTTTCATCAACTTTTTCGTCAATAACTTACCTCGTTTTAAAAATTGTTCATATGTAGAGATTTTATAAATTAGCGATTCATTTACTCATAGCCCTATGCTAATATGATTTTTTTAAAAAAATCTTTTGAAATAAACATGAGGAAAACAGTAAATGTTTTGAGACTGATTAAGATGAAATATACATTAATTTGATAAAATCTTCACTTTACTAACACCGCTGGACATGTTGAAGGCTGGGACTAACTTATACCAAAGCAATCCGAAGTGATTGATTGATGTTAAAATTTTCATTCATATGAGGTGTAACCATATCCAGGATGACGTCTTATAATTTAGACCTTTTCTTAGCATTAAAGAAAGAATTTGGTACCATAGAAGAGTAGCGAATGCATTCCTTGTCGACCTGTCACATTTCCTTTTAGCTCCTTGTCATGATCGGAAACTAAAACAATTCGTACGAAATTCAGTATGACAACACTTTCCAAAAATTTGTATATATGAAAAACATTCGATCAATAATGCTTTAAGCGTCATTGAAACTTGACATTTATTGAAGGAAAGAAATTTCTTATCTTAATGTAGAGTAAATCCTCTATTTCATACAATTTTTAAAAATATTTTTTCCTCGACCAGAAAGAAAAGATTTATCAGACTAGCTGAAATATTTGTTTAAATTAAAGCTGCAGCGACAAGAAAAAAAATCTATATACATTATAGACTGAGATGTTAGAGTTAATTCGCTTTGAACGTCTACAGACCGAATCATTTAGATACCTATATAGCAAAGTTGTTGCATCGAACTTAGTAACTTTTTCGCTATAGAAGTAAAAATGTGAATTTGCACAAGAATTTCAACAATTCTGTCACTATTTTGCGATATTGAAGTAGTCTGTGATACAAACTTATTGTTGTTTATCAGAACAAAAATAAATTTCAAAATTTAGGTCTTTAATTCTTCCATAATTGTAATATTTAGCTAGTTGTAGCTTGTTGTTAAGCAAAAGTAGATTCAATAAACCTCCAAGGAAATTTAAAAAATTAAAATCACATTTTTTTCAATAGACAGTAACACATGATTTTCCCACACTTTATACAACCAGTCCACAAGATAAATTATTAGCAGACCTTTTTTTTGTGTATTCACATGAAACAGAATTTGTCCAAAATCCTATGCGTTAAAAGAAGAAAACTTGTGGCCTTCAACTTGACATTTGGATATATCGACGACGTACTGTCAATTAACAATGGCAATTTTGATTCTTATGTCGATATGATATATCCTTGTGAGCTTGAGATAAAAGATATCACAGTGTCTGACACATCTGTTTCATATTTGGATATTTTACTTGAAAAAGGCGTTAATGGTTATCTAACAACCAAGCTATATGATAAAGTGATGACTTTAACTTTTCTATCGTCAACCTCCCTTACTTATACAGCAATATACCTTCATCACCTGCATACGGAGTTTATATATAGAGCATGCTCTACGTATGAACAATTTCTAAAACGAGGTAAATCATTGACAAACTGTTAACAAGTTGATGAAGCAAGATCATCAGCAGTTTCGTTTAAAGTAATCATTTCGTCAGTTCTATGGTCGATATGTTACATTAAAGTTTTGCAATTTAAGAAACTCAAAACTTTCTTTAACAATAGTTTTGAATTTCTTAAATTGCAAAACTTTAATTTAACAGAAACAATGACCTTGTCAGCGAATACAATTTATCATTGAGTCAAATGCTGACGTTTTTCATATTAATTGTTAATCCATTATTTACACACTGAATTGACGATGGATTTTTCCGTTATTTTATACTGATCATAACAAGGAGCACACAGCGGGTGTGACCGGTCGGCAGGAGATGCTTACTTCATGGCACCTAATCCCACCTCTGATGTTTTGGCGGTCCGTGTTTGCTCTGCTCCTATTTTGTATTGTTTTATGGGATTTTGATCTTGAATACCGTTCGTTATCTCCAAATGTTTCATAAACTAGGCTTTTTTGTTGCCATAGAAAACAGCTTCCTCAATATAACTCGGGATTTTCTTATAACTTGTGATTCAACAACAAAATAACTTTGTTAAAAATCACATATGTACTCCGAAGTTGATGTTAAATGGATGCTGAGTTCCTCATTGACGACATCTCTGTGGTCTGTGGGTCTATCTTCAACTTGTGCTACAGTGGGTACATGTACTAATTATGCTTCTTTATCAAGGGTCTGCACAACCGATTTCTTTTTTTAATGACTGTGAAAGATAAATACCAACTATCTTCTTCAGGTGACTTTAGCTTTTCTATCGTCAACTTTCCATATTTATGTAATATTTCCCTATCACCTGCTGGTTTTTATTCCTTTATCCTTTTCAATAGATATCAAAGAACATGTACCGAAAAACGATCAAGATATTCCTACTTTTGCCATGGACAAAGATAAGTATTGTAAGCATTTTTTAAAAAAAATCTCTCAAGGAGAGTTATCTTCACCCTTTTTGAGATTGCAATACTATTCCAAAATTTAATTTAAATTCTATCGATTAAGAGGATACCCAGAATTGGGGATTTTTATAATTCGTAGAAACTTATTGAGACTTTTAATGGAGGTGGAGATCACCATTGGAAATCAATTGAACACAAATCTTACATTTACTTAAACTGTGAAGGACAAAATGAACAGCAATTTACATTGCACCTTGTTCTTCATAATCATAGTAAACAACCATAAATAAGATCAAATGAGCTATTTTTAAGGCCTCTATGTTGAAAATGAAAACCAGACTCCTATAGAAACCTCATGATCTAAATGTAATTAGTTACTGTTACTTAATTCTAATTTTCCTTTATCATTCAACGTGAAGAAAATTTTCCATTTTTCATTAAGTACAAAGCAGATTGTTTGGATTTGAAAAGCAAATAACGCAGAGCTAATAACGTTATTCACTTATTTATCGTTTTTACTTATTTATTTATTTTGCCGTCACCGAGAATAAGGAGTTTTGTTAAATTTAAATTCATTAAATTTTGACCCTGTTTTGTTAAAAGTACATAGTCATAATCAAAGTCGAAATGACCTTTAAGCATTCAATGAAGTCTATTATCCATGGTACCTGATGTCACCTCTGATGTTTTGGAGGTCCATGTTTGTTCTGCTCCTATTTTGTATTGTTTTATGGATTTTTTTTTATCTTGAATACTGTTTGTTATCTCCAGATATTTAATTTCTTGTATTTCTTGATTGTAATTTAATTTCGAGATATAGCGATTAAACTCATGAAAAATGCTTCTATGATATCTGTCCACAATATTCAATGAACATTAAAAAGATTTCAGAGTTTGTATCAGTCATCATATTTTGTTACGGTTACCCCAGAGACAATCATATTCTAACAGGAGAGGTAATTTTGTCAACTTTATTAATGAGTTCAGCCAACAGAACCACTGCATTCTTTTGAACTGTTGAAGTTCGATCCAACCTTTAAATGTACACAATGCAGCGATCAAACGACACCCGATATGAGGATTTAAATCTCTCTGGGTATATATACTTATCACATACTTTAGGGAAAGAATTCTGACAGGTCATTAATGTTCTATATACGCCATTATTGGTAGGCGAAATCTCAAATACGATAGGCTGAGGAAAGGGTAGTGATTCGATTATTTAAAAAGGTACGTTTTTACTACAGCAGATGTGCAAAAAAGTAGTCGATTGAAATTGACTGACCTCTTAAAACCAATAGGTATTTTTGTTTTAATAGGTAGAACACATCCTGTTAAAATGAATTGCAGTATACCGGTGTGTGCTGACGTAGATATACAACCTTTTATGCCGATTCCATCTCCGAATGACGGATTTAGTGCTAGACTTGACGATGAGCAAGAATGTCTCCTAACACAGGTCTTAAATGTGGGAGACAAACTTATAGTGGTTGATAATGAAAATAAAAGACTTAAAAGATTTAAGATCCGCTCCCGGACTCTTGTGGACCAGCTTCTTTTGGATGACCCTTGTGGTGCATCTGTACTTCCTCTTTCAAGTCACGTGATAGTGACAGAACCAGAATTTAGAATTTTGTCTTTCATAAGCATGGATGGAGTGATGGCGTTAAGTTCGCGACGGAAGACGGAAAAGAAATATCAGCCAATTTGTTGTTTGGATGAAGAAAGACTTGTAGTGGGATGTTGCGAGTTAAGAGAAAGTTCTGTGGACATTCTCAATTATATGGGAGTAGTTTTGATAACCGTCAGTTCTTGTTTGAATAATTCTGTAGTATTTCGGACACCGGCTAGTCTGACTTATTTAGCGGGTGATTGTATCATCGTATCAGACTCAGGACTATGTAAAGTGGTGGGAATCGGACTGAAGGGACAGCTAAAGTTTGTTTATGATCCCAAATGTATACCAAGTGGAATATCAGCCGACAAGGACCGCAATGTGTTCCTGTGTTGTTACGACAAGAAAACTATCCAGTGCCTAAAATATGAAAGCAACCGGTTATATTCGACGTGTTCAGACTTTACTGTAAAATGCCCACTGTCAGTGACGTCAGCCAAGAACAGTCTTTATGTAACAGAGGAGATGCCAAACGATAAAGTTTCAATAATAAAGGTATTACAGTTACATTTATTAGTTTTGATGCTAGGAAAATTTTTAAGACAGATGAACTTAAGATACCTCTGGAAGTTTGATTTATTATATTACGATTATGTATTGTAATATGAATATCGAAATTTTTCAGGTCACAGATGAAGAAAAGGCAATAGAAGATGAAGAAAACCCAGTAAATTTATCGAATATACATCTGACGGTTCTAAAACATGATGATGACCTCATAGAATGACAAACACTACATTTTCCAACAAATGTTATTAAATATAGACCGCATTGTCCCGTTTTTCCTGTAAGGATGCAGAATAATTCAGTAAGAAAATATTAGTCAATTGAAAATTAACTTTTAAAAAATATGATATAAGGGAAAAATTGCTTTTTATGAAAACATAAAGAAATAGACAAGAAACACGTTTTCTTCCATTTTTATATTCAAAACATGCTGATTATTTACAGTTTACGAGATTATACATACACAATATCACGGACCAATGATTTACAATGTACTTCCAATAACAACAATATAGAATCACATGACAACACTATACGTACACTATGAAGTGTATCATAATATTTAATTTACAGATACACATATTTTATACCGGTAATATTGACTCTATATAATATCATGAAACAACATAAACATTTCTTTGTATTTTAGGATATACAACACTTTATAAATCAAATGTATCTCTCTTAGAAATATTCTGGAGGTGTATGAATTCCTTGATACATGTGTCTACTTTAATTATTATTATTTATTAGATTACCGATGTTTTCAGTACTTCGTATAATGTTTAAATAGAAATATTGGAAAATGTTTTTCATACAAAACAATGTATACATATACATATATATTTAAAATTAAACAGATCTTATCTTTACCATATAAAAGTCTTTAACACAACTAAAGACGATGAATAATAAGTGCATATCTAATACAGAATGAGTATTATGTATATTATATTAGTCTCGTATGCAGGCAGTCAGTCAGTACACGTGCACTGACCAATTGTGCGTCACTATTGCAACGTTCCACGAACATGGATCATAACAAAAACGTATGTGGTCCATTACATAAAAAAGTTAAAAACAATGAGGTATATTGCAATTAAATCTGAACTCAGTAAATTCATGGCAATTTCTTTTGAATTATCTATTATTAAGGCACTTAATATTATGTACAACGTGCCGATAACATTGAGGTATACATTTTATAATATATGACATCTTTTTTACCTTAAAACTTCACCGTTAGTTGTAACGTTTTAAACAAAACGAAATCCTTTGGCTAAACCAATGCTCTTGTTACAAATCGACCATTAATCAAGATGTCATATTACCAATGACAAATATTTAATATTATGTAAACTATCTTTTAACTCTATACCAGTCTAATGAAAATTCTGTTTAACTTCTTTCACTACAATCTTACCGTCAGTTGCCTACCAACAGTTTTCACAGAGTTCTGTAAAACTGTTTCAGGGAACTTCTTGTCAGTGCGCAGAAGTAATGCGCAGTAACATCTTTATGACTAGAATACAGACTAGAAATACAAAACAAAACTTGGTATACGCATGTTTTGCTACTTTGTGTATTAATACATCCTCACAGCACTTAGACCTTCTCTCCAATGACCATCCCTCCATTCATCCTAACTACCTGGTAGCCGGTCATTGCTTCTCTTCCCTTCTCATTGGTTGGTGTTAACAGGAACTTCAGGCGCTGAAAATTAAATGGGTTTTAATATTTTGCAACTTTTCTTTTGATTTTTTTCTTCTTTTTCTGGTTTTACATAGCAGATACCTTAACAATCAATACGATTTTTAGCTATGATGGTTTAAAAGGGCATATAAATAATAGAGTAAGATGCCTGCGATAATATTTGAAACTGAAGCTTAAAGTCCCTTGAAACATATCAGGAGCAGGGTGAACACGGTGTCTAAAAACATCAGAGATGGGCTTTACAAAAATTCTGGTGAAATATAAATTTTGAAATTTCTGCCTTTTGAAGGAAAAAAAAAAATCCTGAAATGTTGCTTATCTTCAGTTTGGACAAAACACTTCCATATTCTGACCAAAGTGTATTACATGTAAAAGGATTTGACAGCGTTTTTACGATCTTTGAAAGTCACGATCAGACAAACGAATATGGAAGAATCCTCATTTAATGTAGAATCAGGTTTATTCAAATTATGCCCCCTCCTCACCATCTGAAAGGGAGGTACTAGTAATTTTGGAAACCTTGTTTATTCACGTTTTCAATAGACAACTGATTTTACTTCTATCCTGGCCAAAGTGCTCAGGTAAGCGATGTGGCCCAATGACCTGTTGATTGATTTCTTACCTCTGAGGGCGATCCACTAGCTCTTATGAATCCAATGATTGCAAACAGTGGAATACATAGAACAGAGGATAGTGCTATACACCAGCCAATAAAGTTGGCCTCCCAAGGGTAAATGTAGTTGTCATAACTATGAGGTGTATACTGGACCAGACCAAAAATCATAATCCACTGTAATACAAAAGAACCAAATCTTATGAATCGCCAAAATGCCAAAGGAGATCTCAGAAAAATTAATCTCTTCATGTTTGAAAATTATAGAGCATACAAGGAAAATTAAAACACCTTACCAAAATAAATAAAGGTGCTATGAATTTCCAGCAAATTTTCCAGTATATTCCAGCAGGGTGTCCAAGCATCGTTCGAATATCATTTGAAAACCTTTCTACGCCTGTGTAAAGAAACATACTGAATAAGAGTTCCTGAAATATACGGTATATGATAAAAAGAAAATATATAATATTAAGAGATAAGGTAGATATAATACGTAGATCTTTGAAAAGAAACAAAACAAACTTCGGCTGCAAGACCATTTACACGTATACAATGAAATACATGCCGGTAACGAACATAATTCATCCTCTGACAAGACCCAAAGTTACATAAGATAATGTATTAGGAATACTGTATTCACTAAAATTTTGTGACACCTCAGCGCGTAAATTACTTACCTTGTCATTGGTCATTTGCAAAATTATTTTGTTAAAAGAACATTCGCATCGCACACACAAGTACTTTGAAGTTAAAATAAAAAGATGCTTGAGTTTCTGATTGATAAAATCTATGTGTTTTTTGGAGACCAGGTCTTCCAACAATCTATTGGAATTCCAGCTGGTACCATTTGCGCTCTGTTATTATCAGACCTATTTTTGCATTCATATGAAACAAAATTTGTCCAAACACACACAGTTGAAAAGAAAAAAAAAACACTTTGCGTGGCCTTCAACTGAACATTTACTGATATATCAACGATGTATTGTCAATTAACAAAACAATGGTTACTAGTATTTCCATTCTTATGTCCTCCAACAATATAGCCCAGTGAACTTCAATAAAAGATACAACAAAGTCAGACATATTTGTTTCATATATATACATTTTACTTGAAAAAAAAACGTTAATGATTATCTAAAAACAAGGTATATAAATCGTGATGATTGTCAATTTTCAATGGTTATTTCCTTCTTACGCACGATATATACCTGTATCATCTGCATGAAACATACAAAGATACACATCTGATTCAGGATTTAACATTTTACAAAAAGTCCATAAAACAATACAAAACAGGAGCAGAGCAAACAGGGACCTCCAAACATCAGAGGTGGGATCAGGTGCCATGGAGGAGTAATCATCCCTTGCTGACCGGTCACACCAGCCTTGTGTTCCTTGTCATGATCGGGAAATAACGGAAAAATCCGTCGTCAATTCAGTGTATAAATAATGGACTAACAATTAGTATGAAAAACGTAAGTCGGCATTGCATTTGCTGACAGGGACATTGTATCGACCATAGAACTTAAAAAATGATGACTTTAAACGAGACTCCTGATATTTTTGCTTCATCAACTTGTTTGTCAATAATTTACCTCGTTTTAGAAATTGTTCATACGTAGAGCATGCTCTTGCATATGGAATCAACTGAGATACATAAACTCCGTATGCAGGTGATGGAGGTATATTGCTGCATAAGTAGGGGAAGTTGGCGATAGAAAAGTTGAAGTCATCATGTTTATCATAGAGCGTGGTTGTTAGATTACCATTAACGTCTTTTTCAAGTAAAATAACCAAATATGAAACAGATGTGTCAGAGTCGTGGTATCTTTTATCTCAAGCTCACCAGGATGTATCGTATCGACATAGGAATGAAAATTACAATGGTTAATTGACAATACGTCGTCGATATATCTAAATGTCGAGTTGAAGGCCAAATAAGTGTTTTTGTTATCACGCATAAGATTTTGAACAAATTCTGCTTTATATGAATACAAAAATAGGTCTGCTAACGGTGTGCAATTGGTACCCATGGGAATAGGTTGTTGGAAGACCTGATCACCAAAAACAACATAGATATTGTCAATCAGAAACTTTTTTGATCTCGACTTCAGAGTACTTGTGTGTACAATCACAATGTTCTTTTAACAAAATAATTTTGCAAATAACAAATGGCAATGTAAGTAAATTTAAGAGTTCCATTTTTATTAAAAAAAGCGGCTGTCAATGATATCAAAAGGCCTGGGCTTTAATTTATCGTAGGTAATGGTTGTGTATAAAGTGGAAAAGTCGTAAGTTTTTAAGATGTTAAATTTCGTAAAATCTTGTGATTTCAAATGGTCTGCATATGGAGTTTTTATCTCTCAGTTGATTCGATATACAAGAGCCTGCTCTACGTATGTACAATCTCTAAAGCTAGGTAAATTGTTAACAAACAAGTTAACAAACAAACAACAATAATAGCAGTTTCGTTTAAAGTCATCATTTTATAAGTTTTATGGTCGATACAATGACCTTGTCAGCAAATGGAATTTTTCACCGACTGACTGACGTTTTTCATACTAATTGTTAGTCCATTATTTACACACTAAATTGACGTTTTTTTTTTGTTTTTTGTTTCGTTATTTCCCGATCATGACAAGGAGCACACGGCAGGTGTGACCGGTCGGCAGCGGATGCCCACCTGATCTTGATGTTTTGGAGATCCGTGTTTGCTCTACCCCTATTTTGTATTGTTTTATGGACTTTTGAGCTTGGATATTGTTTGGAATCTCCATATATTTCATGGTCATAAGGTGTTTATAACCGAACCCAAATTTTCACTTTTGGTTATTACTGTAAATGAATGTAATCTTACATATTGTGAAATACACGATAAAAATATTATCGTGCGTTAAACGTCACTAGTAATAGCGCAAAAATAAAGTTTTCGAGAAGAAAAAGTAAAATTAAGTTATGTATAATTTGGACTTTAAACAGGAAAGAAAATTTACTAGTATTTCAAACATCTCCCAAAATATTTGACCTTAAGGATGATACAAAATCAAAGTCCTGATAAACCGGACAGCAACTTGTGAAATTAATTGTGATTCACGTATTTGTTTTCTAAAATCCATATAAAGACACTGTTACTATACAGTCACAACTGTTACATGACATACCATATGCCCAGGATAATACCAAACTCTCAAAAAACACTGCAAACAAGATGGAGTAGCCCGCCGCATACTTGTCCATCAGCGACACAACGTAAGCCCCGCCCTGTAATTATAAAAAAAACATGGCAAACTTCTATAAAATTGTAAACTGCGAGAACAAAATCTTCATATCAGATAACTTGGAGCTGCAGATTTTTGACACACTTAATTCTGTAATCAAAGGTGTAAGATGCACTTTGCAATGCCTCTGGTTATTTTTGAGAATTTTTGTGTGAGAATCGGAGAAAATTGGACAGTAAGTGGAATATAATATATTTCTAAGACAGCTTGATCCGATTGTCTTGTTCCTTTTCAAATAACAGCTGGGCTTTAGGGTTTTGTTACGTCTCTAGTTCCATTTATGTCTAGCCTATAATTTAGGCAAAAACAATTGATTTCCTGCTTCAGAAATGTATGAAGGTCTTTATTGTTACTGAGGATGTGAACTGGTAGAATACAGCCTTTAGCAACAGACTGCAAGTATAATACGTTTTATAGAGCTATCTACTGTGACCGTATTCATTTTAAGGGCCGACGAATTTCCCAGGAATGTCTAAGTGATGTTTTCAATATATTTTACCTGGTAATGGATCGCCAAAAACGAAGGAAACTCTACTTCCTTCATTATCGCATAACTAATTCAATTCTGAAGTATCGTTCACAAGTAAAACTAGACTAGACAATGTTTTATGGCAATTTTTCTTTAAGATGGCTTAATTATCATGAATCCATTATAATGACTTTACAATTACTGAAATCTCATATCCACTACATTATATAGAGCGATTAAAATAACATTAACCTGAATAAGATAAAAAGAAACTATATATCTATTTTATCGGATTTTTTTGCATGAATTGATGATGTCTGGGACCTTCAAAATCTATGCATTTTTTTCAGTAAGAAATATAATATCACTTTTTCTGATCTTTGATTTGAGACCACCTAACTCGATACAACGCATAACAATACTGAGAAAATATTGGGAAACGGGTGAATGTCATTTAAACAATAGTTTAAGAAATGTTTCGAAAATCCCATAAAATGTAACTAGACAAAAAGAAGGGAAGAACAAACTAGTTGTGTCTAAGGAGACTGAATTGGTTTACCTGGGTACAGAATGCCAGCCCTACTATCATATAGAGTGAAAACAGAGCTCCTACAAATATCTCTCTGTGTTTCCTCAAAACCGGAAACTCGTCAGAGATGGCAGTAATGATGGCTTCCGATCCTCCAAACTAGAAGAAATACGCATCGTAAAATAAGTTCATGGCTTTGTTTTAAATGTCAGGTAAAGTTAAAAAACAATTCATTGAAAATCTTATTTGACATACCGAGCTATCCAGTCCCAAAGTCAAAAGCATCAGAAAAAATATAATGGACCAAAATGGTGCTGCAGGAAGAGTTGCTATGGCAGCTGGGTAAACAACAAAAACGAGACCGGGACCTACAAAAATTGGATGAATTTACTGATACTGATATTTAAACTTTGATATGTATATTTCAGACAAAAAGGACGATGAAAACTTGTATTTTTATCATCGATTGAAATTACTTTAATTTGAAACAGAATAACAATCATTACCTTCCGTGGCAACCTTATCTATGGGTAAATTGGCGGTCTCAGCCATATGACCCAAAATCATGAAGATGACAAACCCGGACACGAAGCTTGTCATGCAATTTATACTGCTGGTGATTAAGGCATCCCTGTCAAAAAGAAGAAAGCTTAATTAAAAGAACGCTTTATTTCTCTAAGAATAAAAAGTGAGAAAAAATCATAACACAATATTGAAACAATTAATCCATATGGACCTGAAAACTGAAGAATTGAAAAATATAAAGTGAGAGGAGAGTATTCTGTAAAGCCAACATACGAACGGAACATTACAAGAAAATAAAGCAAACTGAATAAATATTGTAAGGCCAACAAAAATGATTGAAGAGTGAAAAGTGGATAATGTAAATTGATATCACGTGAATGAAATAAAATAAAAAGTTAACAAACCATGATCGACCTATGATCAGAGATGTTTTACAAATAGTACAAATCGGTAAACAGTGCATAACATTAAAACACCAGGAATTCCAGAAGTATAGGATCAGGTGCCAAGGAGGAGTAAACATCCCCTGATGACGGCCATACCCACTGTGAGCCGATCATATAGATCAAGCAGCTGAAAATCCCGTTGCCAAAATCAGTTTTAAAAGGCTTTTCAATTGATATAGAATATGTTAATAACGACCAAATGATAAGGTTATCTCTGCTAACAAGGTCATTATAACCACCAAAAACTTTTGGAAATGCTGACTTTAAAAGAGATGGTCAAAATCCTCATAACTTATCTGTCAGAGGCTTGTCTCAGATTTAAAATTGATGAAATTTAGAGCAAACTCTCGGCCATCTCACAAGTTTGGGAACATTCACATCATTTGCAGATGAAATAAGTTACTTACATTGGTAAGTCAACTCCAAACATTCAAGTGAACTTGAAATAAAAAGATACAAAAGAATCTGATATATATATATTTTTTTTCATATCTGGTTTTTTCAATTTAAAAGAAGACGTTAATGGCAACATAGTAATAAAACTTTATTTAAGCGTGATGGCTTTCCCTCCTCAATTTCCCTTACACATGTAGCGGTATCCATGTACATTTATCACCAGTTAATATGTTTCCCAGTTGATCAATTACTAAGAATATGTTCTATGGACGAACAATTTGTAAAACTTGACAAGCTACTGCAAACAAGTTGATGTATCAAAATATTCAACAGTCTCGTTCAAAGTCATCATTTAGCAATATTTATGATCGATTCAATGACCTTGTCAGCAAACATAATCTATCAATAAGTGGAATACTGACTGACTTTTTTCACACTTTTTCACAGTGGACAATTGAGTTAGATTATACAGTAATTTGTTATCTCCATATTTTATACCCAACGAGATATTAAATAAAAGAATATAAATTGAGAGATAAAAATGTTGTAAAGGACAATACATGAATGAATCAATAGAATAAAACCGTTTTCAGTTTGTGTGTGTGATATAAATAAAATAATATAAATCGTAGTATTGCGTACAAGAATGAAGCAATATTTCAGTTCGTGTGTGTTAATCATTCTGTGATATAAATAATAAGATTATATCGGTAGTGAAATTGTGTTCTTTAAAATAGTAAATCAAAGAAATTAGCAAATGTAAAGATTCATTAGCGGTAAAAGTCAATTTAAAATAGTTCTATAGATTTCAAGCTTCTCTCACATTTTGAGAAAAAATTCTAGATAACATTTATGATAGAGAATATTAAAAAAAGTTTTAGTGTTTTACGAAAGCTTTCGTATGAACCGTATTCACCAACTTAACCGAATTAAGCAGGCATATTCTTACAGATTTATGGTTACCATATAAATAGAGAACATTGGAACTAATTGACTTAAGTCCATCTAAATAACTTTGCACTTAATTCTCTTCTCTAATAGTTGTCGTCTACAAATAAAACGCAACAGTTGTCGTAAAAGGTTTTGACCGTAAATCAGACAAAAACAGCACAACTTTATCACTCTAGCATTGGAGAGGAAAGTCAAATTTTCCGAAATAATGTAAGAAATGCATTTGTACGAGTTAATTTTATATAATTGAATGTAACATCTTGTCGTTTGCTCCAATAAACTGTGGCATCTTGCTCTTGTGAAGGATTTTTCTTTAATCAAATACTTTTTATGTTTAAAAATAAACAGCTTCATTAGCTTCAAAAATGACTCCTTAACATCAACTACATGTACTCATTTGACACACAGAAAAGTATGACAAATCAGTCACTAATAGTTCCGGTCACACAAATTAGTTGTTAAGAAAAATCTAAAAATACAAACCTGTAAACATTATTGTTGATTTGATTGTAACTGGCATACGCCAAAAGGACCCCAAAACCAGGTCCTAAGGAAAAGAAAACCTGCGTCGCCGCATCAACCCAAACCTACAAGTTTTTTGACGTCATTATTTTTTTCTTTTTAAATCTTTCTTTATAGTATAAATTCGATTATCTAGCTGATTCTATTTTGCCTTTAAGTTTTCTAAAGATTAGAAACGTTACTTCAGAACTAGCGAGTCTGGTGAAGTTTGGGGTTAGGTAGTATTGTACTCCTTTATCAGCGCCCTCTAGCGTCGCTCCACGAACCATCAAAATTGCCAAGACCACGTAAGGAAACAGTGCAGTGAACCATACAACCTAGAGAAAAAAATCAGAATGCACAAGTTGTTTATAAAATACCCACAGAAGTACAAACGCACAAACTACTAAACCTGTTTTTCTTCATTTTTCTTTACACAAATTTACACGGACAGTATATAAAGAAGACATTTTGATATCTGCACAAGTTTTGATCTGCACTTAACATAAATATTACACAACTACTTAGCATTTTATTACGCGGCATATTTTACATGTAGTTCAGTACATAATGAATGATTTGATCAATGCAGAGTGGGATTAGGTAACAAACTCTAAAAACTAAAGGACATGACTGAAAAACGAACTAATATTGAATGTGATTGCAATTATCAAAATTACTTATTGTTCTCCTTGACCACCCCTTCTTAATTACCAAATCAAGGGTTGTGATTGCAACCACGTGGAATAAAGTGAAAATTGAAGCATTTGGAGCTGGAGAGTCGTCGTCATTAGAAGGTCTATATTTTGTTGATTGTAGATAATAGGTCTTACTTTTCCTGACATCTTTATTCCCTTCCATAAACTGAAGTAACAAATGAGGTACACCGCTAACAAGCAGAGGGCGATTTCCCAGTTAATGGAGCCCACGTCAAAGATTCCGCCACTCTGGTCCAGCTGTAGGAATCGATTGCTAAAATAAACGAAAAAGATTTGCTTTGTCAAGGGAATTTCAATGGAATAATATTTAACAACCCAACTTCAACATACTGGGGTATCATATGGAACTGTCTCATGTAGCATTCTCCTTCTTAAGTGTACATGTAAGTAAATATGTATTCATTCATATCAGGTTGTCAACCCGTACAAAATCAAGCGACATATAACTCCATAATGATATTGAAACTTCGGAGTAGTGTGAATACCTAAATATATTTCTGCATGAAAATAAAACTGTTCAAAATAAACACTGAAAAATTGGAAAACTTTCATTTTTTTTTCGTCAAAAACTTTTAGAATTGTTAAGGGATCACATTCTTTGAATAGAATTTTGGCCCCCAAAATAGATAAAAGCTGTTGTTGCCAAGAATACGAGAAAAAGGAAATTTCCAAAAAATATGAAATTTTGTAAACACAATTACTTTCAACATAAATGAAGCACCGTAAAAGTCAGTTAAATATAAAGTAGACGAATTATACATTCTAATTTGTGCTTGGTGTCTACACACTTACAATCATAAAACTAGATACTGTAATAGACAATAATACGCAAACTTAAATGTTTGCTACTTATTTGTAATCACCTTTATAAATATATAGGTATCAAGGGAAGAAGTCACAATAATTTTATGTGTGCCCCAAAATAAAAACCGAAATTCTGATACCTAAGTTCACATTTCAAAATACATCAAAGATTTTTTTCAAAATATGATTGGTAGTCGAAATTGCAAAAGCTTGTTACACCTCTACAGGACACTTCCAATCATAATTCCGAAATATGATTTGGCTACTAAAATATGAAGAGGAGTTCAGGGATTAGATGTGTGTAGTTAAACACCGTTTTATCGCTCATTTGGCCCTTAATGTAAGGTTGAAAAAATTTCAAAATCTTTCGGAACTCAATGAAGGTACGCCAATCACATTCCAAAAGATAGGTTGGGCTATACTAATACTGGTTAAAAAAAAATCTAAGATCCTTTTGAGGAACAAGAAACTGTAACGGTCAGACAGACAGATGGTTTAAGATAACTACATTATTCCTGAAATTGCTTTTAGAAGAGCGTTAACAATTCATTTTGAGAGGAAAGGTTGGATTGAAAGAAGAGAACATACGGATACCCACAATTTTCCCCAGTAAGAAATAAAGAGGAATAAGCCATGAGACATACACCTCCTAAAACGTGTACAAAACTATATGGTATATTGTTTTATTACTTGAAATACTCCTCCGCCGGTGAAATCTTCCTCACATCTGTAACATTTGTGCTGTTTGTAATGTTATCGTTCACTATCAATGTAGATATTGAATTAAACACAGTCGTTCCTTCTAGAGTCATGTTTGAATTGTTTTCACTACTGGGCACAGCACTTGGTTTTCCTTCATAACAAAATTCGGTGTTCCATGAATGACCACATGACGCCCATGGAAGCTCACTAGTGAAGGAGGAGAACAGGAAATGTATGGACCACGCTATAACCACGTTGTAGAAAAAGTCTGTATAAAATGCGATCAAAACCACTGCCCATCCGATCCCTTAATATAGACAAAAATATAGATAAAACTATTCAGAAAGATGAGAAAAAAAAACATACGAATATAAAATGTACTCAATTGTCAGGAAAAACAAGACAGAAACATATATTACTTGATTTTTAATTGAACAATGTTTTATCACCAAAAATCAAAATTTACCTTTAAATAATGGACATAAACGACCCCAGCAAGTAATTGCACCGGTTTTATTATATTGACCGAGTGCCAGTTCCATGTAAAACAAAGGAATACCGGCCAGACACAGCATCAAAAGGTAAGGAAACAAAAAGGCACCTTTAAAAGAAACATTTTAATGAAAAAGAAAAAAGCGAAATAGGTTAAGTTTTACCAGAAAAAAAGTATGTGACGTCAATTCTAAATACATGATGCATAAAAGGCATATATTCCTTATATTGAATGTGTTCTTTCACAGCTTCTTTAGTAGCCTAAAGTAAAGTACATGTAGTATAAAAATTGGTCAGTTACCTCCCCCGTTTCTGTAGCACAGATAGGGAAACCTCCACACATTGGCCAAATCCACGGCGAACCCAATGACGGACAACAGGAAGTCGATCTTCGTGTCCCATGTCTCCCTCTCTTTGTGTTCTGTCTCCACATCCTCTTTCTTCTCTACCAGAGGGTCTAATATAAAAACAAAACGGACTGTTATTGATACTATTATGATGTTCTCTGGCAATGAAAAATAAGTTATAGTCAAGGATGTTGGCTTTTGATCAAAACCTTAGTGGAATAACATCTTATGTCTTCAAAAATATATCATTCACATTGTAAAATTCTATCTATATAAAATAAATGTTTAAGCTATTTGGCTTCCATCTTGTTTTTTATAAATATTTTGTAATCTATGTAAATGTTATTGCTGTTATTCTAAAGGCTTTATGAAATATCTATGTTGAGAGCTCTGGAGAAGACTTAAGACTCTAAGAACCACAACCAAGCGCTAACTTATAGTAACTTGAAACGAATGTCGTATGGTTCGAATTTTTGTTATCACATATCTTACAAATTGGTGCAGGCTTCATTTGTCACCCTATATAGTATCTTATCTATATAGCAAAATGGCTATGCTTACAAACGTTTCACTGTCCTACGTATGCACAGCAAACTTAAGATTGTTGCTTGTTCAGTTCGTTCTGCTGCTACGGCCATGTTACAATAACTACTGTAGTCTATTGTTTATGCATTTATGAATTACTTGCAGTTCTCCAAAGTATACATTCTGTCTTGTATGCAGAATTCCTAAACGTCCTTAACTCATTTAAAAAGATACATTACAGGAGACAAGTTCGCTGGACACTGTAATAATTGTCCTGTAATACAGGGCTCAGCAAACTTGTCGTTACTCCTTTAAAAATATCAACTGCTTTAAAGGAGTTGTACAGCTTTAAAGTATTGTACATCACATTCTAATAACTGTATAAACTTTCAGAAAATACAAAATCAACACGTAAGACTTTTCTACTCTTTATACAACCATTCCTCACGATAAATTAAAAACTAGTTTTTTTTTATATCATAGACAAACGTTTTTTTTCAATTAAAATAAAATTGTTGTTGGTCATTAACAAAATCAATAATCTCTGAAATTGATTCTACACAGAAGTATCCTGAAGTTGATATTAAATGGATGCTGGGGTATCTAATTGAGAACATTCATGTAGTTTTTGGAGAGAACAATCTTCTGACAACGTTGGGAACTAAAAAGTTTTTATATTCCATAAAAAAGTTTATTCAAATCTTCTACAAGAAATACGAGTACGTGGAGTTAACGAACAGTATTCAAGCTCAAAAGTCCATATAAACAATGCAAATCAGGAACAGAGCAAATACTGGCCTCTTAAATCAGGTGCCATGCAGGATTGAGCATCCCCTGCCAACTGGGTATATCGCCGTGTGCTCCTTGTCATGATCGGTTAATAACGGAATATCCATTGACAATTCAATGTTTAAAATAATGGCCTCACAATTAGTATGAAAACCTACAGTCAGCATTTGGCTTAATGATGGATTGTATTTGCTGACAAGTCATTGTATTAACAATAGAACTTACGAAATGATGACTTTAAACTAGATTGTTTATGGTCTTTTTCATCAACTTGTTTGTATATAACTTACTTTGTTCTTAAACCGTTCATACGTAGAGCATTCTCTGATGTATCGAATCAACTGAGAGATATAAACCTCGTATGCAGTTCATAAGGGCAATTGCTGCATATGTAAGGTAAGTTGACGATACATGAAAAAACACTTGCCCCGGCCTGTTAAATTGATCTGTCAATGAACATTAGTTTTATCCATTGATATGTCAACACAATACCGTCGACACTGTATCTAAATGAAATTAAAATAAAAAAAACACCACTGTCTGTCACACCGGTTTCATATTTGGATGTCTTGCAACTATAGACGATAAGGACCCATTAAAATCAAAATTATATTTCAAACAAGATGATCTGCTTCTCCGCCGTCAGCTCTCCCTACTTGTGTATGTAATATTCCGCTTTCACCTGCATTTTTATGCATCCAAATATAGTCAATACTCAAGAGCATGCTTTAAGTATGAAAAAAAAGTTTAAACCAAGAAAGGTTACTAAAAAATAAAGTGATCTTAGAGGAATTTCAACAACATCGATTAAAGCATTTCGAAAACTCTACATGGTCGTTATAATGGCATTCTTAGCAAATAAGCACAACTATCATTGCGTCGTTTCACCATACCAACTGTCTTCTTCTCCATTGCATTTTTATAGTTTTTTGTGCAGATTAGGATTTATTTTTAGATCGATCACTTTTCGTTTTTTACATGCCTTAACTAATGAAATTATAAAAAAAAATCACAGTAAATCTGTTTTTAGTATTCCGTCTCCTAAGATATGTTTTTTGCCATATATGTTTATAATTATAATCATTTAAGGATAAGGTTTCATTAATTTTGTTCCGTAGTTTTTTTTAATGCAAAATGATTAATAATGCAAAAATTGGTTAAGTAGCATTTACCAGTTCATTACACACGTGGCGCCATAATTGAAAATATAATGTCGTATTGAAACTTAAAATTGTGAAAGTAATTTGATTTTGTACTTTAAAAAAAGGGCGTGTAGATTGAAAGTATTCCAGCGCCAAAATAAATGGGGAAAAAATAGCGTCAATATTTTGAAATGTTCGCGTGAATAGACCTGAAAAGAACTGCAAGCCACCTGAGAGATTGTTCTATTTTCATTCGAACACAATTAATCTAGGTAACCCTGTTGAATACACATTGATAAACATACAATAATAGGTATCAGCATCTGTTCTGTATAGATTTCCAAACAATTATACGGCTTTTCTAAATTACCAAGTTTCGGGCCAACCCGCAGTATTACAAAAATTTCTCGTTTTTATTAGTTATATCTGACTATCCTCTACAAATATGCTTTTGATAATGTGATCTATAGCATTGTGCTATAAAATTCACAACAGATGCTCATTTCAATTATTTAAGATTTTACTGTCCTAAAATCCCCCGTTACCAACCCTGTCCACTTTACTCATGTTATTTTACACTATGTTCTCTGCTATAATTAACCATTTTGCAACAGGTTTTTTTTCTTACAATGAGAAAACCAGGAGAAAATCTGAATGAAACAATTTATGATGTGTGATAGATATCAGCGCACATTAAATATGTTTTCAGTTGGCTGCATGATATATTTATTATAGATATATACAACGATATCACTAAAACCTTTCCAGAGGAACAACATTTTATAAAAAGTAATCGACCTTATCCTTCAAGAATCTTTGGATACACAATTGGTAGAGCTATCTGTAGGAATTTATTTCATTCACAACAAATCTTATACAGATTACAGATGGAAAGTGTGTTTTCTATAAGTTCCTGATGATAATGTTATTTCCTGATTCCAGTCAGTGATCTTTACATGTATATGTTTGGTTATTTTTACGAGAATTCGAAGTAACAGTACGTTAAAATAGAACTCTCCACTCTTTATGTTTACAGGTCACTTGTCCAGTCACTGTGACTCTTATGTCTGAAATGACCTTTGTTTGAGGTCATAGCATATTCCATGGTCAACTGCAACATATTTTCTTAATTAGGAGCATTAATAATTCTTGCTTTACAGAGTTTTTGTCGAGACAAGGTCGTTGTACGGCCAGTCACTGTGAACTATACCTTGTTCAAATGTCCTTAATGTAATTCATGTCATCAGCAACCGCGTTGTGTCAAGTTTAAGATTCAAAGAGTTCTCTCTTACAAAGAGAGGACTTACAAAGAGGCAGAAAAACCTACAAGTATGCCCAATAAACTTAGCTGAGGAGGCCATAGTTATCATAAGATTCGCTGTAAGAAACTACATTCCAGAGATTTAAATTGTATTTACCCCTTACCCTTTCCCCTCAAATCAACCTTATGAAATGAGATTTAACAATGGTTTTTAGTTTTACATTATTCTTCAACAAAACTGATGGCATCATATATTCCCTGATGTCTCTCCGCAACAAATGAGTTGCACAATTGTGAAACTAAAGCCTCTGACAGAACGCCTGATCTTATCTGCTCTCTCTGATTTATGAACTCAAATTCGCATCGCTGATATTACTGATATTAATTTTTAAATCTAAAAAATTATTAGGGAGTAAATTGGCATACAAAACTTCGGGGTTTTTTTCTCTCTTAATGTTCCTTGAACCCCATTTAACGAATTCATATATCAAAATCCGACATGATTTTGCAAATTGTTGGAAGTTTTTCTGAACAAAAAGACGTATACTATAAAAGAATGTCCTCGGTAAAGAATGGAGCCCCCCTCCGATCTGTTCTGTGTCTTTGTGTTTGACACATCACAAGAGACAGTGGTGACGTGAAAGAGATGTTTCACATTGAATTGGAACAAGAGTGTTAGATTACCCATTTACTGACAGTAAGATCTGTTCAACAATACCAAAGTGTAAAAATATCTCTTTTAGAAAAAAAGAAATAAAAAATTTCTCGTGAAAGAATTTTTAAAAGTTGCCCATCATTGAAAGACGTCATGAAATTATGTTTAAGTATATTCAGTGTAGTTTTTGTTGCATTATCCTAAAGAATGCAACAGTTGTGCACATATCAATAGCTATCACTGATTTTATTAGATATAAATCATTATATGTTTTATTCAAATGGAAATACGATTGAAAAGCCTGCTAATTGAAACATCAAATCATTTAGCTCATAAATAATATTAAATATGAGCTTTAAGTATTCTCTGATAATTTTTACTCCCATGACCCAATAATATTCATATCCTATTCATTCTCTTTAGTTTAACACATTTGATTTATTTCTAGTGCTAAAGTTTGCTGTATTGGTTTTTTTTCATGTATCAAAAGGCGAAAAATAAAAGTGAAGAAAAATTTGAAGGAATGAAGGATTTTGTTTTGGTGAAGGGAAAGTAATATGTTCTATGGATTTCTTGATGATGATTTTCATTAGAACTAATGCAAAAAATCGCCGCTACCCAGGCATACAAACCAATACAGAACGTCAACACCCACTGTAGCTTATTGGAATTTTACATCCGATTAGGCACACGACTGGATAGAACGTCTGTTTCCGCACTGAAACATTCCCCTAGTAGTATTCCAAAGATTGAAGGTTGTATAGTAGTTGTAATACTACAAGGCCTTACATGAAAGTACCATTAGTGGTTTGCTGATTGACCGCACAGCGACTAATATTTCTGATCATGACATAAAGAATATTGTAATAAATAGAGAAAGATTTTTACATTTTTTTTATTCGGATAAGGAAAGAGAGCACACTTTCACTTTTTACTCTGATTTCCTTCTACACCAAGTATTACCCTTGTTGCAAAGCCTACATCAAGAGAGAAACTAAATAGGGTGGACAACATTTGTAATTAAAGTTATTTGAAGGAATTTATAATCCATATCAAAGATCAAAGGCAACCGCCAATTCTTCTTTTTGGACAGTTAATTTGTTACTGTACAAATTATGACCATGAGATACGTTGCAAGCAAAAAGTGCATTTTCTCGGTAACATCAAAAGAGGTAATCTGCAAATGACATTGGCCATACAAATAGGCAATTTTGTATGTATTAAACAAAGCAATCACATTACACAAACAATCGAATGAGTCAATGAATGTTGTTCTTTTGCGTGAAATTTACAGATATAGAAGCATCCTTTTATTCATAATATTTTTTTTTTTACATATAAAACATTCAAAACTGTAACAATATATCTATTGAGAACGGAAGGACATAAAACTTTGCGATTTTACAAACAAGTCATGCAATTCCTAGCATCTGATATCTTTATAAGAATAAATGTCAACTTCATTGGTGTCATCTTTTACGTATATACTTTATCAAAGTGTATCTTCGTATGCAATTGAATCCACCTGCTCGACATTACAAACCCCAAAAATGCAATGAAAAGGTGATAAAGTTTTCTACTGCTTTCTATCATACATTATTTCAGGTATGCCTGTATGCCTACCTTGGGGTGATTTTTGGTTGTTTTCCATTGAGTCCGTGTGTTGGTTAGTATCCAGGGCTGTGCCATCTGAATCCTTCAAATCCATAATGATTAAGTCACGTCATTCATAAGTTTTCAAACCTTTAAAATGAGAGAACACATCTAAATAAATTTTAAATAATCCACTTTCCACCACCTAGAGATGTGATCTAAAATATTTTCTTTTTAATAGTTTATAATAAACTCGTGTAACTTTGTACAATTCATTTTATTTTACAACACAATTAAAGAAAGCTTAATCATAAATTGAGCACTGTTTATGCATTCAGTTACTTATCAAAATAAACAATCAGAGATATTTCGGTACAAATATGTGATTAACTGTTTCTTGCCTATTGCATTTCATCAATGTTTTTCTTATCTTGTTATGTAGGAAATATTTTGGTCATCACAAAAAAAAAAATCATCCTGCTCGATTCAACAAATTGTTTTAGCAGCTGGGAGCGCAGCTCAAAGATTTCACGTCTGTGAATTGCAAGGGCGAATTTGTTTTCTGTTTTGAAGTATCGTAAACTTACAACATTTTTATGTTTTACGCTATTGTTTATCTTATCACCCTTGTTGCAGACAGGGAAAATGTAGAGGTAAAGTTGTTTTAACACCGTGTGACATCTGATGATAATGCATATTGAATTTGTCAATAAAAGTGAGATAAACACGAATAAAGCTGAGAGCGACTTACTGTTGCTGAAGTGGTTTTTCTCTGTTCCGTGTTGGCCTCACCGTTGATTGCATTACAGACTCTCTCTTATACCATCCTATCACGCCTCACTGTCACTGATCAGCTGACCTAATTTAAATTTAAAACGAAAACTATTAAAGTTTTCTATAAAGGTATTCAAGAGTTTTAAATCTTGTCTCAACAGCCTTATTATAAAATGGAATGTACTCCTTTTCCCCGAGTAATTTTGTTCCTCTTAATAAGTTTACTCGGACATCGGACAGTTTGTTTGTTCGCCTTCTGTATCACCTTTGTGTGGGGTCACAAGAAACACCTTGTAATGCTGTCCATAGTGAAATCTGACCGACAGAAACCATCAACTATCCTCAGCGTCTGTCAGGTTAACATATATCTGTATCTGCATTAGGTCTACATGAATTTGGACACCAGAACATGTATCATTGCACAGGTAATCCTCACACAAAAAATCCAATCAACACGGAATTTGCTTTACCGAAAAGTCTACTTCACTGATAACTTTCTTTCACTTTTTGTGGAAGACGGTAAAGATTGTTTTTATATTAGGACACTTAATTCAATATTCAGAACATTGCAGGTCATCAACAAGTCCTCGCCTGGACTATGAAGACCTAAATAGAGTTTGTATAAGAGATTAAACTGTGCATTTAAAATCAAATCTTTCTTCCCTTACTTCAAGTATATCAAAATACATTGCAGAATGCTTTCATTCTCAATTTCTTCTTATCAATTGAAAAGAAATTGATTCTACAACAATCTATTAGACCTGAAAGATAAACAATGCAGAAAAAAAAATAGCGCCTTTCTTCCGTTAGAAGTGATACTTATTTAGTTAAACAGCTTTATGTTTGGTCAAGTCACATAATTTGGTGAAAAGTACGAAAGTTCAGTGGATGTTTAGAAAAGGTTTAGATTTCTCATTGCAGAGTCCGGGGATATTTTCAAAAGAGTATTCTACATTAAAAATAAAATTTTTAATTAGAAAATTTTCTATTGAAGAGAAATTTTTGAAAAAAAATACTACTATAATTCTTCTGTGTGGGAGAAAAGAAAATTTGTTTGTGGTTTGTATCTCTAATGTTTCAAATTCCAAATAAAAGTAAACTAAATCCAATCTTTTCTTATCTGTTAAGCAGAGAAAGGAAATTGAGGATATTTCTTTACAAAACTAGAGAGGACATTAACAATGATTCGGGAATGACCTTGACCTAATTCAAACTATTCTGTTCATTTAAAAGTACGACGGTATATAAGTTGTTGCATAAAACTATGAAAAGACAACATAATTTGTCGTGTCATGTTCTATTTCACTACAATGTCTTCACACGTATGTGTCAAATATTTCAAATTACACCGCCAAATAATAGTCATGGAATATACAAACCACATGGATTAAGGTATATAGGTTTAGATCAGATTTCGTCATTTAATTAAGTTTAAAGGTAGATCCCAATGTCTTTTTAATGTATAATAAATCGCGGTGTATGCATTTTCTAGCACGGAAACTGAAGCCCCTTGTTTGTAAGATGAGCATTCCGAAATAAAATTGCGTCTACGACACAAAAATGCAGATAGTACTTGTAATCCTAGATAGCACAATAACCTTACCCCAAACATTATTTACCTAAATTCTTGACAAAATATTTGTATTCGTATATCCCTCTATGCTGCAGCTTGATATATGTATGTAAGTCAACAGCTAAGGAGCAACACTGTAATTTATGCATTTTTTTTTTAAAATGTATTTTGAAAGCACTTTCCATATCAAAGGAGTTAATTAATTCAATTTAATTTTTTTTTACTTTTTGTTTTTCAAAAATGATTTTAATTTCTTTTAGCTACTTAATAAATAAAAAAAAGTATAAGATTCTGTTTAATTTGCAGTCTTTTCATAATATCGCCTGTGAAGAAGGAAAACTTACCGTTTAAAAAACTTTTATCTCCGTGTCAATAAATTTTACTACAACACTAGTAAGAATATTGGATGCAGAAGGTTTAATATTTAACTTTTTTCTCACGGCACATATTTAAATCATCGATCTCAATCACGTGAGCACTTAATACATTAGCGAAAGAATTGGTGAGTTCTAAGCGTACTAGCTACAAGGATGCAGGATAAAGTCCCTCCGCGCCGGACAATTAGTCTATCAACATTCTGAAACAGGACCTATTGTAAATCGGGTCAGACCAAAGATAATACGAACAAAGCCAAACCCCCGATAGAGATAAAGGCAGATAATTACCGAACATAAATTACTAACTGCGGATTTAATTGATGTAATAAATAACAATATTTACAAATGGGGTGATGATTGCGTATTGATGATATTGGGACTTGGACCACAACAAATCACGGCAAAATCGACAAGTTCGACAACCTGCAGTTTTCAATAGCAGTCCAAAGCCACATATGAATTTGCCAAAGATGAATATCGTTCGTGTTTTCATAACTAAGTGCTTACTTGAATCCTGAACTTTAATTGCATTGAAACCGAAATGGGTAATCGATAGACGCATTTGGATGAAAATAAAAACGTTCATTTCATTGCAGTTTCTAGTGCGATATAATTATTGAAAATAATCTTTCAATGCATGTTCAATAAACGTAAACTTTTTTTCATGAAACTCAAAAGTGTTATGAAAATGACCTTCATCCTCTTTACAAAATCATTGAGAACATAAATTTTATAAAAGTGTGATCAGCTTTGCATCTCGTATTGAGTGTATCTTTGGCACTGCGAACGTAGCACCTCTAGGAAGCAGTAAATGATCATTGGTTTACGTGCGGTTTAATAAAACGCTTGAAAAGGTTAGCTAATGCGTTTGTAAATCACAGGGATTCAGTCAGAAGGAAAATAGTTCCGACAGTTTAGCAATCAAAATTATAAGAACAAAGAAATAATGAAATATATTGTCCTTTTAAATTTTATTCGATTATCACATTAAAATGTCTTTAATATAAAAACAAGGTCCTAGCGACGTAACTGTCGTCTCATAGACACTTTGCCAGTATTATATATTCTACGGAAATCTAGTGGCAGAGCATTCGCCTTCTTAATCGGAAGGGGTTTGTTTCGGGATCGGGTTGTCCGTGTTCGATTCGAGACATAGACAGAGATAAAGGCTTCTTCATTCGTCAAACGTTTGAAATATATGGAGATAACGAACAATATTCATGCTCAAAGTCCAAAAACAATACAAAATAGCAGAGCAAATACGGACCTCCAAAACATCACAGGTGCCACGAAGGAGTGAGCATCCCCAGCTGACCGGTGAAACACTGGCATTTCAGGGGAAATCTTAAAACCTGGGTCCCGTGTTAAGACAGACGTCGGCATGTTAAAGATTCCTCACTGCTCAATGACCATGAATAGCAAGTGTAGGTGAAACCCTTCAACTGGTATATGATGACGTCACTATATGAGTTAAAAAGGAATCTCGATTGGGACGTTAAATAACACTGTATTATATTATATAATTATAAATAATTAATAATTAACATAATTGTATAATATGATATAATTATATAATATAAAGGAAACTATTTGAAAATCCTATCAAAACTGTTCTAAACATGTACATTTACAAGGAAACATTCTCAAGTATATTGATTCAGATTTGTTCAAAACATGACACTTGGGGTAGGCTGGGCCATAATGGGGCATTACATTTTTACATGGAAATACATAGAAAAAAAAGTTTAGGATCTGCTTTTTTAAAAAAAAAAAAAACAAGACCATAATTGGTCGTATTTATATGGAAAAACTTCAGGAAATGTATATTCAATTGTGTTCAATCTTGACCCCTGGGGTAGTGTAGAGCCACAGTGGGCAATCAAATTTTTACTTATGAACACAGGAGAAAAATCTTTTAAACATTTATTCCCGAGAACAGCTAAGCATTGATTAGTTATATGATAAAGAAATAATATGAAGAAAAATCATCGGTTCGTATAGATTAAGATTTCTTTCGAATCACGTTCCCTAATAGTAGGGCGAAACTAATTCAGCCATTTACATAGAAATAGGAAAAAACTTAGGTAGAAACAAGTTATTTATTTAAAATTTTCGATTTTCTATAGTACTCAGATTAGCAATCGGCCCGTAGGCCTCTTGTTTCAATGTCTAATTAAGCATACCATCAGGCTCGAATCCTTCTTCCCGATATATAAATGAAATATGTAGGTAACTTCCAGTAGTTATGCTCAAAAGTTCATTAAAACCATACAAATCGTGAACATCTAGCAATTACGGATCTCTCAGAGCATCAGAGTAGGATCAGATGCCATGGAGGAGTAAGCATCCCCTGTCGACCGTTCACAGCTGCCGTTTGCTCCTTGTCACGATCAGAGAAGTGGAAATCCTGTAGACAATGCTGTGTGCAAAATAATTGTTCTAAAAATAAGTATGAAAAACAGTCAGTCAACATTCGACTTAATGAAAGATTGCACTTGAGTAATGATAGATTGTACTTGAAGACAAAGCTATTCTACTGAAGACAGACTTTGCGAAATGTTGGCTTTAATGAAACTGTTGATATCCTTGCTTCATCAACGTAATTGTCAATAGTTTGATTCTTTTTAGAAATAATTTGTATGTAGAGCATATTCTTAGGTATCGAATCAACGGGGGATATAAAATCAAAATGCAAGAGGAAATGATATAATGCTATAAAAGTAAGGGAAGTTGACGAAAGAGAATTTGGAGTTATCACTTTTTTTATAAACATGTTACCATTTGTGTTTTTTGTTGAAATATCCAAATATGAAACAGTTGTGTCAGAATTGGTTATATCTTTTATTTTGGGTCTAAAAGAATATTTTCCAGTTATTTCCCGATCGTGACATGGATCACACGACGGGTGACCGGTCAGCAGGGGATGCTTACTCCTCCATGGCATCTGATCCCACCTTTGATGTTTGGGATTCCGTGTTTGTTCTGCTCCTATTTTGTATATTTTTAAATGTATTCAAATGTTGAACTGTAGGCCAAAGTTATCTCTTTTGAATCATAGACAAGGGAAACTCATATAGAATTATTTTTTGTGTCTTCATAAGAATAAACATCTGTCTTTCACATCTTGCGATTAATGAAATTTCAACTTTTACCGTTATATATAATACACTTGTATCTTGTATATTTACTCATATTCATTTACATTTTTCATCATTATAAAGTTGAACTGAAGGCAAAATTTTTATTTTTATTTTTTTAATTTTTACATTTTATATGTATTTGTGCATTCTTTTCTTCAGGCACACTTATCCCATTCTTAAAAGATTAATTTTGTTATCAATTTACTACATAAGTATTGATACTTAGAAATGAAAGCAATGTATATTTGCTTTTTTTATCATTATTATTAGATATATTTAAAAACGTATTGAAAAGATTTGTGACACACATGTAATACTAGTATATAAATGCAAAGTGATTTTTTTTTTAAAAGTATTAATCAAAGT